GTAGTGCCTAACTTGACTGCTAATCAGAAGGCTGGTAGTTCAAACCCACCAGCCACTCCTCGGAAGGAAGATGGGGCAATCTACTTCCATAGTGATCCTGCCTCAGAAACCTGAGGAGGAGGGGTGGTCGGTATGAGTCGAGTCTGACTCGACAGCACATAACAACAACAACAACATAATACCTAGGCTCCAGTTTCAAGTTATTGATTATCTTGGCTGTTACAATCATGAATATTTGTACTGTGCATGAATGTAAGAGTAGATTGTTAAATAACCTTACAAAGAGCAATGCAAGGACTGACTGTGGCCTGGTGTTAGGCATTATTTTAGGTCATTCTGTGGTTATGTGGGCATTACATAACTTCTCTGAGCCTTGTTTCCTTATGAGTTCTTTGGATATAATACTTCCCACTCACTATGTTGATAGTAGAGTGTTGTTGAGTCTAAGCTGAGATAGTAGACATGGAAGCATCTTGTCAACTGTAAAAAAAAAACAAAAAACTGTTATAGTCAAGTTGACTGACCCATGGTGACCCCATGTGTGTCAGAATAGAACTGTGCTCCACAGAGTTTTCACTACTATGTTGATAGTAGAGTGTTGTTGAGTCTAAGCTGAGATAGTAGACATGGAAGCATCTTGTCAACTGTAAAAAAAAAACCCAAAAAACTGTTATAGTCAAGTTGACTCTGACCCATGGTGACCCCATGTGTGTCAGAATAGAACTGTGCTCCACAGAGTTTTCCAAGGATGACTTTTCAGAAGTAGATCACCAGGCTTTTCTTCTGAGAAGCGTTTAGGTGAACTTGAACCCCCAACCTTTGATCAGCAGCCAAGCATGTTAACCATTTGCATCATCTAGGGACTCCATAAACTGTAAAACAACAACAAAAACTCACTGACGTCAAATCAGATCCAACTCAGCGACCCCTGCTTGGGTTTCCAAGGCAGTATCACTATGAAAGTAGATTACCCAATCTTTTTTCCAAGGAGTGGCTGGTGGGTTTGAACTGCCAGCCTTCTGGTTAGTAGTCAAATGCCTTAGGCACTATGCCACCAGAGCTCCCATAAACTGTATAGAAATCCTCAATATAAAAGGTTCAGGTTGAGGGAACCTGCCATCCCTAGAGCATGGTTGTGAAGCAGTGGTCTTACGCACGTTAGCTCCTTTATCCCTCAGAAAGTGTCTGCACAAGGTAGGGGCAATTGGATGAAATGTTTGGAACCGCCTAAAATCTTATGTTGTTCTTTTCCTTTCCCTTAGGGCAGAATAAGGAAACTGCAGTCATGACGACTCACGTCACCCTAGAAGATGCCCTATCCAACGTGGACCTGCTGGAAGAGCTGCCCCTCCCTGACCAGCAGCCATGCATCGAGCCCCCACCCTCCTCCATCATGTACCAAGTAAATCCTCCGGGCCCTGACTGGAAATAACATATGGGCTCAGGAACTCTGGAGATCCCCTAAGAGGGTTTTGCCTGAAGACTGAGAGAGGGGGGAGGTCTGCTTCTAGAAAGTGAAAGGTCAAGAGCTGATGGAGTCCCTTGTGGCCTCCTTGGAGCTGAGTATAAGGAATAGATTAACTAGTAAATGTTCACCAGGACTATTTCCTTTCCCCAGGGAGGGCTTGTTGATCTGTTCTGACCTCAGATCCCTTCCTGGCTGTTTGTGCTGCTGCACCAACCAAGCTTTTGGCAGCTCTGACCTCATGAATTAAATATTGCAATTTAGAAACCCCTAGAGCCTGCCTGGGTAATTACTTCTCCTTCATGTATGTGAGAAGAACACTATAATTCCCCACAGCAGCTAATGGTTCAGGGAAGCTGGTCACAGTTGTTTGCTTTTGCCCAAGAGAGAGAAGAGCTTGTGATAAACAATGATTGATTCCTCATATGGCGAGCCCATCAGGGCATGGTGGAAAGGGCACCATTGGGGCTGGAGTCAGCCTTATAAAGAGCCCCTTGTGGACATGTGTGAGGAGAATACGTCACATTAATAAGGAATATGCTAATTTGAAATTTTTAGTGGTATTTGACCTTTTGAAAGTTCTTGGACTACTAAATGAAACTAAATATAAATACATATTTTTTATTTCATTCACTGGTTACATTTTTTTGTTAAGCCTCGACTACTAACATGAATTAAATTGTTTATGCTTTTTTGTTATAAGCAATACAGGAATGTGTAACTTAACAAATAAAAGTTTCCCTGTAACTATGCCAATATATATTATTGTTTTTACTAGTGTGTGTGTGTGTATATGTGTGTTTGTGCGTGTGCATATGTATATATATATATATATCAATCTATGACTTGACTATTTTTAATTTAAAATTTATTAGGGATATTTTTCCATGACAATACTACTGTTACTACTAATAATAATGCTACCATATTACTTTTAACCACTATGTAGTACTTATAAGTTCCTATGTGGACATGCTTTTATTCATCTAGCTATTCTTTATTAATGAACATGTGGATTGTTCCTAGTTTTTCTATCACAAAAATTGCCGCAGTGATTATCCTTGTGTGTATGTGTCTGTATCCTCAGATGAGTATGTCTGGAACTGCTGAATCAAAGTGGTGCATATTTTAACTTTTACCAGCTCTTTGTGCTTGTGGAGTTTAAGCATTTATTGCCGAGACATAACTGAGTGAACCTGATAAACTGCTGATGGGAACAGATGTGAGCCTATCTTCCACCTGTTCCTACACATTGTGATTCAGAGTGAGGTTTTTTGAGGGATTCGGTGGATAAGAGGGTGATATGGTGATAGGTTTCTATCAAGAGCTGTGGCATCTGTTGGCAGCAGCTCGTGCTCTGGACCTGTTTTCCAACAATGAAATGCTTTTTTCTTTTGATTCCCACAGGCGAACTTTGACACAAACTTTGAGGACAGGAATGCATTTGTCACGGGCATTGCAAGGTACATTGAGCAGGCTACGGTCCATTCCAGCATGGTAAGTCTCTTCAAGCCTGACTGCAGACATGTTCTCAACCAGGGCAGGAGGGGCCCTGGGCAGCCTTCTAACATGAAGGGCAGGTGCTCAGCTATTCCACATCCCCCTACCTCAGACAGACCCATTTCTTTAAATCTCTTCTCATGCCAGGCTCCAGTCTCATAACTCACCTTGTACTATTCCCCTTCTTTTCCAGTTTTGCAAATATGACTCACCTTTAGGACCTTACTTAAGTCCTGTTACTATTTTTCTTTCTTTCTTCTTTTTTTTTTTTTTCAACTGTCATTGTGATGAAAACATATACAACAAGATATTCACCAACATAACAACCTCTACATTAACAGATCAGGGACATTAATGCCATTTTTCATGTTGTGCCACCATTATTACTATCCTTTTCCAAAATATTCTACTGCCTATTAGCATAAACTCAGTGCCACCAAACAAATGCTTCTCCTTTCCCCCTCCCTCTTATCTTTTATATATATATATACATGTATATATATATAGATATATAGATATATACATATACACATTTTTTCCCCTACCCTACTAGGAATTTAGCCCCTCCTCCCCTCCCAGCCCTGTTAACTGACAAAAAAAATTTCCTTCTGTATATAAACTGTTCCTTGATTTTTTGCAATCATGGACTAATATATTTGTCCTTCTGTGATTGACTTATTGCACTCAGCATAATGTCCTCCAAGTTCATCCATGTTATGTGGTGTTTTGGAGATTCTCCATTATCTTTAGGGTTGCATAGTATTCCATTGTGTGCATCTACCACAGTTGGTTTATCCATTCTTCGGTTGATGGGCATTTAGGTTGTTTCCATCTCTTTGCTATCATGAGTAGTGCTGCAGTGAATATGGGTATGCATATATGTATTTATGTCCTGCCTCTCACTTCTTTAGGATATATGCCTAGCAATGAAGCCCTATTATTTTGAAGCCAGCATTGATTTCTTGCTTCTCTGAGCTTCTATAGCTTTTTGGGTTAACATGTGATTAAATATTACCTTTTCATATACCTTATAGATTTCTGTGTGTGTCATATTTTTTTCTTGAGCAAAGCAAAAAGTTCCTTATAAACAGGGACAGTACCTTTGGAATAACACAGTTATGACTCAAAGAAGCTGATGGCTTACTTCAGTCCCAAATGGAGCCAGCTATTATTTCCTTTTATGGTGCAGTTGTCTGACCCATCTGTGAAGGATCATCCCCTTGCCTCTTGGGCTTTCATTGATTTTATTTTCATGCAGCACTGAAATTTGAAGAATTCTGGATCCTTCTCTCAAAGAGTATATAACTTTTATTGGCTGTGCCTGTGCTTCTGTGTTTTTTTAAAACAATGTATCAGTTGTATCCTAAAATCTTACCTTAACATACCCTACTCATTCATTCCATAAATGTTATTTACCTGGACTGTACTAAATGTTGGAGAGATGTCCATGAAAAAATAAGTCCCAGCCTTGATTCTCACAAAGTCATGTAGGAAATAGACAAACTTACCATTTATTGAACATGTTTTCTGTGCATATATTTTAAATGCATTTATCTCATTTCATCCTCACATCAACCACATGCAATAGGTATTGTTATAATACACAATTTACAGATGAGGAAAATTGACACCCAGAGAAGTTAAATAACTTACTTGGGTTCCTTTGGCTGACAAGTGACAGATCTAAACCCAGCTTTCTGACTACAAAATCTTTGCTTTATGCTATTCTTGGCCAATAAAAATGCACAAAGAGCAAATATCATGGTAAAAGTTTAAAGTTCTGTGTTTTTGAAGGGTGCTTCAGGAAGTTAGAAAAAGCTTATTGAAGGAAGTGGCTTTGGAGTGGGGCCTTGTAGGAGGGTAATGATACCTTCATATAGGTGGTACTTTAGAATGTATAAAGTATTCTTATACATCATATCATTGGAGTCTCATAATAGCCCCATGACTTGCAAAGGGATCATTATACCTATTTTAGAGATGAGAAAGCTGAGGCTTAAAGAAGTTAATAAGCAAGTTACCCAAGATCCTACAGCTAGTAAACCATAAGATTAGACCTGGAATGCAGAGCCTTTAATACCCAGTCTTAATATCTTTGAACTTCACTCTGCTATCTCATGTAGTTAGAATGCCCTCAGTGAGGGAGGGCATTCCAGGTGGAGCGACTAGCATGAACAAAGGCACAGAGTCAATGATTTTCAGAGCTTGTCTGGGTTTGGACTCTAAAGAACAGACAGAGAAGTTGTCTGTGGTATTTATGGAAAAACACATAAGGGTCAAGTGGCTGGATGTTAACAAATGGTTAAGCACTTCACTGCTGCTAGCTGAAAGGTTGGCCGTTCTAATTCTAACCCACACAAAGGCACTTGGAAGACAGGCTTGGAAATCATCTGAAAGGTCACAGCCTTGAAAACACTATGGAGTACAGTTCTACCATGCACACATGGGGTAATTGAGAGTTGGTGCCCTAATTATCTAGTGCTGCTATGGCAGAAATACCACTAGTGGGTGGCTTTAATAAACAGAAATTTATTTTCTCACAGTTCAGGAGGCTAGAAGTCTGAATCAGGGTCTTGCTCTAGAGGAAGGCTTTTTCTCTCTGTTCAGTCTGGGGGAAGTTCTTGTCTTTTTTTCTTAGCTTCTGTTTCTTCGTTCCATGGAGATCTCATGTGGCCTGGTATCTATCTTCCTCCATCTGTGCTTTCTTGCTGCCTCCTTAATCTGCTCTTTTATATTTCTGAAGAGACACACCCTACCCTAATACTGCCTCGTTAACCTAATAAAGAATCCCTATTCCCAAATGGGACTGTAACCACAGGTAAAGCAGGTTTTATAACACATATTTTTGGGGGATACAATTCAATCCACACAGTCAGAATCGTCTCAATGGCATCCAACAAAAGCAACATGAGAGTCAATTCATGGAGGACTTTCAATTCATTTAATAAAACATCAAAGGCAGTGGAAAATTTTCATTCATGGGATGAATATGAATAGTACAATGCTTTGGAAGTAAGTTTCGTTTGTTAGTTATGTGTAGAATAAGTTATAAGGCGGGTGATTAAAGGCAAGTAAAGCAGTTAAGAGATAATAACAATTATCTACATTCAGGCATTAAGGCCTGAATGAAGGTGTTGGCATTGAGGGATCACAAAGAGGATATGGATAGGAGAGTCATTGGAGGTCCACTCCACCTGGCTTAACAATTAGCTCGGTGCTGATGCAGATGGAACAGGGGCCACACTGACCAAGGTTTCCCCTGCATGCCTGGGGGAATGATGAAGCCATTACCTGATACACTAGGCCAGGAACACCAGTAGAGAAGTTGGGAGGAAAGGTTGGTTTGAAGAAACATTATATTAACTTCCTATTGCTGCTGTACCAAATTACCACAAATGTAGTAGCTTAAAATAACACAAATTTATTATCTTACTATAGATCAGAACAACAACATAGATCAGAAATCTGATACAGGTCTCACTGGGTTAAAATCAAAGCGTTCACAGGACTGTTTCTTCTGGAGACTCTAGGGGAAAATATGTTTCCTTGCTTTTTCTAGCTCCTGGAGGCCACCCATATTCCATGATTTATGGCCCCCTTCTTCCTTTTCAAAATCATCAATGTTGCATCTCATTGATTTTGTTTCCATTGTCATATCTCTTCTGACCACAGCTGGTAAAGGTTCCATGCTTTTAAGGATCGATGTGATTAACTTGGGCCCACCTGGATAATCCAGAATAATGTGTCCACCTGCAGGTCCTTAGCTTAGTCACATCTTTTGCTATATAAGGTAACATAGTCACCAATTCCAGGGGTTAGGATATGGAGTTCTTTGGGACCATTATTCTGCCTACCACTGAGATAGCATTGATATGGTTTTAGACATGGGTTAAGAGTAGTGTACTGTTAACTTTAATGGATGATCCTCAAATATCACTTTTCCATTCAACTATTTCCACTTAGTACTTTACTAAATCTTTCTCTAGAGTAGCTTATCAACTGCAAAGGGGATTCAGTGGATGCGCATCATCTTATATTTCAGTTGTCCACACTTTGAGCAAGGTAAATATCTCAATGGACAGGATAGTCAGAAGAGAAGGAGGAAACATACATAAACCATGTAATTGATCAGTCTGCATGGAGCCGTTGAAGTTCTTTGCTGGAGGTGATATGGTAGAGGCAAAGTAGATGCTGAGAGATACAGTCTATCTCCACCCTCCCTGAAATTTGAGCTGGACTCATATTAAGTAGTTTGTCAAGGACTAACAGAATCTTAGCTATATAAAGGTCTTTAGAGATCCTTAGTCCTACAGCTGTCAACTTGGGCTGGACATTAGAATTGCCTGGGAAGTGTTAAAAAAATACTAATGCCTGGGCCCTACCCGATTTACCTACTGCCATCAAACCGATTTTGACTCATAGTGACATTATAGGACAGAGTAGAACTTCCCCGCAGGGTTCCAAGGCTGTATATCTTTATGGAAGCAGACTGCCTCATCTTTCTCCCATGGAGTGGCTGATGGGTTCAAACCTCCAACCTTTTGGTTAGCAGATGAATGCATTAATCACTATGCCACCAGAGTTCCTTCTGGGCCCCATACCAGGGACAGTGATTTAGTTGGTTTAGGACATGGCCTGAGCATTACAGGTCTTGACAGTTTTCCATCTTTAATGTACAGCCAGAGTTGAGAACGCAGGATTTAGGCCAACTCCAAATGAGAAAACCATGACATTAACAAGTTAAAAGGTGGGCCAAGCAGAGCCAGGGCCAGAACTCAAGTCTCCTGAGGCTCTGCCCATTTCTCTTTTTCCTTCATCATCCTGACTTCTAGGCATAATTACATCATATTGGTTGATGATCAACTGAACTGTCCATAAATGCAAGTCTCCATCTTCTTGTTTACTGTACTAATCCCAGCATAATAGTACCTGGTGCTTGATGAGTGGTCACTCAAACATTAGTTGAATAAATCAGTTGGAATTACTCATACCTGCTGGTGGGCAGTTTGGTGCTAAGAAATAAACACATGTTCCCTACGTTGATATCATTTCCCTTTTTTGACATATGTTCTGAGGCAGATGGCACTAGGTGACCCACTAACTTGGTCTTGGTTCCCCCTTATCTCAGAGGAAACATGTTGCTGATTTAAATGTATTCTAAATTAAGAATTGAAAGTATGACTTATCAGTAACATTTGCTGTTGAAAACAGAACAATAATAAGTAATAAATTCCAAATTAAATTTGATCTTGTACTAGCAAGACATTGTGAAATAGATACGATATGTAGATTAAATATAAACTGGTAAAGGTTTGTTTTGTATAGATACAAATGTTTCCAAAGAGATGGTCTAGTAATATGTTTTCAGTTGTATTTTTTGAGATATAATTCACATAACCATATTCACCATTTTTTTTTTTTTTAATATCTGTTTACCCTCTAGTTAGGAGCTCTGGTAGCAAAGTACCTAAGGCACTTGACTGCTAACCAGAAGCCTGGCGGTTCAAACCCACCAGCCACGCCTCGGAAGGAAGATGGGACAACCTACTTCTGTAGTGATACTGCCTCGGAAACCCAAAAAACAGATCCACTGCCCTCGAGTCGCTTCCGACTCATGCAATCCCTATTGGGCTTCCAAGGCTGTAAATGTTACAGAAGCGGATTGCCTCATCTTCTTCCTGTGGACCAGCTGATGGGATTGAACCACTGTCCTTCTGGTGTAGTTACCCACTACACCTCCAGAGCATAGGTATCCATATATCTGTTTGTGTCATGGCTCTTATTTCCCCAGGATATATATCTAGCAGTGGGATTGCTGGATCACATGGTATTTCTGTTTCCAGCTTTGTAAGGAAGAGCCATATTGTTTTCAACAGAGCTTGCCCCATTTTATAGTCCTGCCAACAGAAAATTCACCATTTTAAAGTGTACAATTCAGTGTAATCACAATATTGTGCAGCCATCACCACTGTCTAGTGTCTATCATCCCAAAAGGAAACCTTACGAGTGTTAGCAGTTATTCCCAATGCCCTTCCCCTATTCCTGTTGTTGTTAGGTGCCCTCCAGTGGATTCTGACCCAGAATGACCTGGTAGAACAGAGTAGAACTTTCCTAGGCTGAAATCTCTATAGAAGCAGATCACCAGGTCTTTTCTCCCACCAATCAGCCAGTGGGTTCAAACCACCAACTTTCTGGTTAACAGCCAATGCTTAGCTACTATACTGCCAGGGCTCCTCCTTCTATTCCTGGACGCATAGGACATCACTGCCTTTGAGTTGGATCCGACTCCTAACGACCCCTCCTTCAGTTTCTGAGGTGGTATTAGTGCAGAAGTAGGTTGCCCAACGTTCTTTCTGAGGAGTGACTTTGAAACACTAACCTTCAGGTTAGCAGTCAAAATGCCTGAGGCACTATGCCACGAGAGCTCCCCCCTCTATTCCTATGCAACCTTTAATCTACTTTCTGCCTCAATAGCTTTGTCTGTTCTGGACGTTTGATGTAAATGGAATCATACAATATGTGGTCTTTTGTGATTCTTTCACTTAACGTATAATACTTTCAAGATTCATCATCCATGTTGTAGCATATGTCAGTATTTCATTGTTTTTTATGGCTGAATAATATACCATTGTATAGATAGCACCACTTTTTGTTAATCCATTCAACAATTGATGAACAATTGGGTTGATTCCACAGTATTAATTTCCTAGGGTTGCCATAACAAAGTACTACAAGGTGGGGCTTTACATAACAGAAAATTATTGTCTCACAATTCTGGAGGCTAGATCATTGTGTCAGGTGGGCCGTGTTCCCTCTGAAGTCTCTGGAAGAAGGTCCTTTCTTGTCTCTCCCAGGCTCCGGGAGCCTCAGGTGTTCTTGACTTATAGATGCATCTTTATGTGATAGTCTTTCCCCTATCTCTTTGTGTTTCTTTTCCTTTTTTATAAGGACACCACTCATGTTGAATTGGAACTTGCCCTACTCCCGTATTTCCAAACAAAGTCCAGAGGTTAGAACTTCAATGTATCTTTTTGGAGGCACGGAATTCAATCCATGACATTCTACTTTTTGCAATTATGAATATTGCTATGAACATTCATATACAAGTTTTCACGTGGACATATGTTTTTAATTCTCTTGGATATGTTCCTAGGAGTAGAATTGCTGGGTCATATGGTAACTCTGCTTTACTTTTTCAGAACCTGCCAGATTTCATTCCTAGTAATATTCTTAACTCCATTTTCAGATTACCTAGTATGTATGTGTGTGTGTGTATGTATATATATATATTTTCCCACTTAATGCTGACATAATTCTTTGTGCTTGTGAGATTGTTATTATTATCGTCACTTAACAGATAACTAAGAGGACAGTTTTAGCTTATGAAAGAATTTACTGAAGGCCAAAAAGTGATGAAGCTGGCACTTGAGCCCAGATATTTGGCCCCTGACTTTAGGATATTTCCACAGTAGCACTTAGAAGTGAGGTGAGTCGTCACTGTATTTTTCAGATTCATCCTATTATTGGTTTTGCTATCTGCTCTATTTATTATTTTTTTAAAATTTGATATTAATCATGTTCTTGTTTGTAAAATAGCAACATGGGCTCTTATGAGAGTGGAAACATTATAATACAGTGTGATATAAAAAGTAAAAGGCCCCTTGAGAGCTTGCTAGTCATCACTTGGTACATATTCCACCAAAAACTTTTTCAATACATAATAATGTATATTATTGTAATTACGCTCTGTTTTATTTTTTAACCCATCTACTGTACGTAGTGTTTTGCTACTTGTTATTTTCCTGCTCACAGTATAACTGGGGCACCTGTTGCCATGGAAACACACAGCTTTGCCTCATTCTTTCTACGGTGGCCATCCATCTGTTTGAAAAATGTGGCCTGGTTGCAGAGCCCTCAGGTGTCTAAGATGGATGATGTAGGCCAGTGCTTCTCAAGCTTTCTGTGCATGTGAGTCACCTGGGAATTTTGTCGAAAAGCAGATTCTTGTTCCATAGGCCCAGGAAGGGGCCTGAGATTCTACATTTCTATTAAGCCTCCAGGTGGTGCTGATGCTGCTGGTCCTTTGATACTTGATGGTTTAGGGGGTTGTTGAACAGCCATGTGGCTCCAGTGTCGTTTCTTCCTGCTGAGTGTGTTTTGCTATTTCAGAATGAAATGCTGGAAGAAGGGCACGAGTATGCGGTCATGCTGTATACCTGGCGCAGCTGTTCCCGGGCCATCCCCCAGGTGAGACTGTCCCAGCTGTGTGGCCCTCTTTTCCCTCCAGGAGGCACTGTTACCCTCATGTGTACAGCACAAAGAGCTGTGAACAGCATCTTCTCAAGGTAACAGGGAGCAGAGCAGGACCTCTTGACCAAGGGTATATGCTGGGCCTCTTGGCCAGGGATGCATGCTGGAGTCATTCAGAGAGCTTTCCATAAGACTAATGACAAGATCCCATGCCAGTGACTTAAAAAAAAAAAAATTGTTCAGTGTATTTTATTTCAGAAGTAGTATATGTTAATTGTACTGCACCCAAACCATTGCAGAAGTATATAAAACAAAATATAAGACATCCTACCATCCCTTTGCTGTCACTATTATGATACTTTGCTACATATTCTTCTGGATCTTTTTCCTTGCATGTATATTATTTTATAAATTATTAGCACTGACAGGAGTGTTTTTCTTATTTATATTGTTCTGCCACTTGCTCTTTTTCCACTTAATTCCATATTATTGACTTTTTCATGTCAGTACATAAAGATATTATTGTTATCATCATCATCTTCATCATGAGACTAGTGAGTCTCGTTTTAACAAAACCAAAAAACCAGAGGGGTGTAAAGGAGGCAGAAGCCATTCCTCTCCCGTCGTCCTAATCCTAGTCCCTAGAAGTAACAACTATTAACAGTTTGTTTTTCACCCTTTCAGATTCTCTGTGACTGCATTATATATAAACATGCATACGCTCTCTGTTTTATGTTTCACTTAACAAATATGGGATCAAATTATACTTAACTGTGCTGCAACTTTTTTTTCCTGTCAGTTTCTCATGACCACCTTTTCCTGTCAGTTTCTCATGACCATCTTTTCCTGTCAGTTCATATGCATCTTATCTTGTTCCTTCTAACAATTTTATGATAATATTGTATGAATGTACCATAGTATATTTTATTCATTCAATCATTGTCTGGGGCTATTTAAGTTGTTATCACTTTAAGAATGCCCTAACAACAGTATAAAGAATGTCCTTGTACTTATCTTTGCTCACTCTTCAAATTCGGTTGACCTGTTAGCAATCTGGGGCATGCGTGCTGTGAAAATGTCAGTCTGGTGATTCAGATGCGCGTGCTGGTTGAAAACCTCTGGGCAGGCAAATGCCTTTCTTGATCAACACATCTTATGTTGGCCAATGTTGGCCTGGGTATGGGTGGAGGAGCTTTGTCCCAGGTACATCTGGAGCCATAGACAAAACAGTTTTCTCTGCTTAGAATCTAGCCAGGCTCCATGGGGTAAGGATGGAGACTATGCAGACCTATGTGTACAGTTCATGATCAGGCATAGGAGGGAGGGAGGGGAAGGGGTTGTAGTCTAAGGACCAACTGGTTCCTTCTTTGCAGCTAAACTCTGGAAAACAGTCTGCCCCCTAGCAGAACTGTCTGACAGGGGCTAACTAGCCTACTCTGACATTTAGGAGTGACAAGGGGACTTATTACTAAGATAATGGTGTGAACCAGGACTACTTAGGCAAATCAGCATGTGTGACCCCATCTCTCCCCCACAGGTGAAGTGCAATGAGCAGCCCAACCGAGTGGAGATCTATGAGAAGACAGTGGAGGTGCTGGAGCCAGAGGTCACCAAGCTCATGAAGTTCATGTACTTTCAGGTGAGGGTGGGAGTGGATCAGGACCAGGAGGCTTAGACACTGGCATCTGGCATTTCCTGCCATGCTATTTATTTATTTTTTTAGTAAGTGCTCTTTGAGTGCCCTCTATACCCCTGGGTGAGTAAGAAAGACAAATTTCCCCCTCCGTATAATTTACATCCTAGTGAGTGTACAAGTGCATTTGGGTAGAGGGACATACAGACAATAATACATAATAATTACAGAGCAAAGTAAATGCTGTGAATGGAATAAAAAGAGGATTCTGTAATGGAGAGTACCTGCAACATGAGTCCAGCTTTAGGGACGGCCTCTCAGAAGGAGACATTGAACTGGGTTCTCTATGGTGAGAAAGAAGCTGTCATGTGAGGATCTGGAGGAAAAGTGTGTCTGGCAGAGGGTACTGCAAAGGCTAAGGCCCTGAGGCCTGCGTGAACTTGACATGTTTTGGAAACAGAAGCCAGGGCTGCTGCAGTCCAGTAAGGAGGGGAAGCAGTAAAAGGTGAGGTTGGAGAGAAAGGCAGAGGCATGATCATGTCAGGCACTGCAGGCCAGGCAGTGGGCTGTGAAAAGGATATTTGGATTTTATTCACTCACCACTGGAAGCCATTGAAGGTTTTTAGTGCTATGATCTAATTTAAGGTTTTCCAACAGTGCTCTGGCTGCTCTTTGAAATAGGCACTGGAGGAGGAATGTGGGGTCAATAATGATGCAGGGAGGCCAATTGTGAGGCCAAGAGTGACCATTTAAATGAGGAAAAGAGAAAAGAGAGCCAGGGCTTTCCATGAGTAGAAGATGGTGGTTAAACAGAAATGACGAAGGAAAAGGAATACGTGCAAGTTGGTTATTGTGGTTATGTCAGAAGCTATTCAGGAATGTACATTGAACACTTAGGACCCTTCTATACCCCAGGGTGGGTGTCAGGACACACCCCATGCCTTCCATGAGTTGTTCTGGGGCTGGTTAAATGTCTACCCACTCAGTGCTGTGCTAGCCCTCTGGGGATGGGGGGATGGGAGTATTTGGGGAAAGGTGAAAATGGAGCCAGGGATTTCCTGTGAGCATTGGCTGGAAGGATGAGAAACTCAAGTCTTACCCCAATTCTGCCACGTTCTTATGCATGTGAGCTAACATTGCTGACCTGAAGGTTTCTCAGTTGGTGGTAATGCCTATTTCCAGGTCTCTGGGTGGTGCAAAAACAGTTGCACTTGATTACTTAACTGAAAGGTTGGTGGTTTGAATTTATCCAGCAGCAACACAGACTGGCCTAGCGATTTCTTTCTGGAAGGTTATAGTTATTGAAAATCCTAAGGAGTACATTTTACTCTGACACCCTGTATCAGAGTCGACTTGACAGTAATAGGTCAGGTTTACAGATTAGTGGTAAAGATTCAATAAGGTCACATACGAAGCCAAGTAGAGCCTTGGCTACTGAATGGGTTCAATAAATCACCGTTATTACGACTGCCATTATTGCCCTGCCTTCAGTGAGTCTAATATCTTTTTGGGAAGGAAGATCCAAGAAAGAAGAAATATCCAGGGAAGAAAGACCCAAGAGAAAACAAATATCACAAACTGCTTAAATGATAACCTAAGGACCTCTGATAAGAAGTATTTAGAGAAGGGAGGATCTGGAACAATCTAGAACTCTCCACTCTAATATGGTTGCTATTAGCCACATATAGTGGCTATTTAAAGGACATATCAGGATGAACCAGTCCTTAGAGAAGAACCAGACCCCAGAGAAGGGTCAGCAAAAAAAAGACCCTCAATGAGGTGGATTGACACATTGGCTGCAACATAGCAATGTGGGCTGCAACATAGCAATGATTGTGAGGATGGTGCAGGACATGATACTGTTTGCTTCTGTTGTACATAGGATTACTATGAGTCAGAACCAACTCGATGGCATTTAACAACACAAGCAACAGACATTTAAATTAATTAAAATTAAATATTTTAAAATGCAGTTTCTCAGTTGCACTAGCCACATTTCAGATATTCAATAGTCACATGTGATAAGTGGTTATCATATTAGACAGTGCAGATATAGAACATTTCCATCATCACAGGCTGTCCATCAGACCTAGACTCTGGAAGCAGAAAGTGTAGCTTAGTCTGGTCTTTAAAGGAAAAGAATGACTAGCTAGCTGGACATCGCATCATAGGAGTGACAAGGTGCCTTATTACTGAGATAATGGTGTGAAGAAAAACAGCTGCCATTTTGAGGACTAATTTCTCTCCCACATCCATCCTCCCTCCCTCCCTCCCTCCCTCTCTCTCTCTTTTCCCTCTCTCTTCCCCCCCCTCCTTTCTCTCTCTCTCAGGATTACCACAGTAACCTTTTATTTGTTGTTCAACTGTGATTTTTTTTTTTGGTTTTTTGTTTTGTTTTTTGGTAACAGCTTTATTGAGATACAATTTACATACCATACAATTCAACCATTTAAAGTGTATAATTCAGTGTTTTTTTAATATACTCACAGGGTTGCTCAACCATCACCACAATCAATTTTAGACCGTTCTTCATCACTTCAAAAAGAAACGCTGTACCCTTTACAGTCATCCCAAGCTCCTCTTCCTCCAGCCCCTGGCAACCATTCATCTCCTTTTTGTCTCTATGGATTTGCCTTTTCTGGGCATTTCATATAAATGACATCTATACTATGTGGAATGTACACTATGACTTCTTTCACTTAGCATAATATTTTCAAGGTTCATCCACATTGTAGCATATTTTGTTCCTTTTTATGGCCGAATATCTTTCCCTTGTACATATTTGCCACATCTTGCTTGTCTCTTCATCATTTGATGGACTTTGGGGCAGGTTTCACTTTTTGGCTGTTGTGAGTAATGCTGCTATGGATATCTGTGTATAAGTTTTTGAGTAGGCATATGATTTCATTTCTCTTGGGAATATCCCTTTGAGTAGAATTACTAGGTTACACGATGACTCTACCTTTACATGCATTCATTATTCATTTAACTATTCTCCTTGATTCTACCCTTTCCTCTTCTAATCTGTTCTCACCACAGCAGCTACTGTTGACCTTACTAAATTCACTCACTGCCGTTGAGTTGGATCTGTCTCATAGCAACCCCTCCTTGGTTTTCTGAGGCAGTGTCTCTATGGAAGTAGATTGCCCAGTCTTCTTCCGAGGAGTGGCTGGTGGGTTTGAACTGCCAGCCTTCTGGTTAGCAGTCAAATCCCTTAGGCATTACGCCACCAGAGCTCCTACTGTGACCTTAGTAAAGTATCATTCAGACCATGTTATCCTGTTCAGAACCCTCTCACATCTCCCCCGCTTGCTAAGTGTTAAGGCTTGAGCCCTCACCACAAGACATAGTGTGGTCTGGGCCTGGCCCCTCTCTGACTCCCCTTCTGTCCCTTCCTGACTTACCACTCAATCCAGCCCTCAGGGCACTAACCTCCTTCCCATCCCTTGAGCATACCTGTACACTCTGTCTCAGGGCCTTTGTTTGCACTGGTTGTTCATACTACCTGGAATGCATTTCCCCAGTCACCCTCATGTCTTTCCCCTTCTCCTTTTTCAAATCCTTTTCCTAAAAGTCACTTCTTGATGATTTCTCCTCTGATCTTTCTGTTAAAGTTACAGCACCTTCCAGCCCTTCCTAGCCCTCTTGCTTTCCTTATTTCCTCTGTAGCACGTATTATAATCTAATATAGAGAATTTACTTACTTATTTTGCTTTCTGTCTTCCCTCACTATAACATACTAAGTTCCTTAGGGCAGAGTTAGGTTGTTTTTATTTTGTATTGTTTTGTATTTCTTTCTGTTTTGCTCCCTGCTACCAAAGTACCTAGAACAGTGCCTGGTACATAGTAGGTGCTTAATCGATAGTTATTAAATGAATTAATATTTTTTTCTGAATGTCTGTCTCATTCTTTGTAGATACCTCCTTATTGTCTGGTGCCTGACACTGCCCTGGGTGCTGGGGATACAAATATGAATAAGACATAATGCCTCTCAGCAAATAATGCATTAAAAAGATCAATTAGCTTGACTCACTTTGGGGCAGATTCCAGGCTCCCCTCTAGAAATCAGCTTTGGATCTGGGGACCTTTGGGAGAAGGGTCACCTGGCAGATGTGCCTTTCTCTTTTCTCTAAATGTCAGTGCGCTGACTAGGACTCTGGGGAGCCTTGACTCCACTCCCCATAGAGAGAGCAGCTAGCCGCCCTTCTGAATAGCTTGTTCCATATGCCCTGCCCTCTGCCTGCAGCGCAAGGCCATCGAGCGGTTCTGCAGTGAAGTGAAGCGCCTGTGCCATGCCGAGCGGAGGAAGGACTTTGTCTCCGAGGCCTACCTATTGACCCTGGGCAAGTTCATCAACATGTTTGCTGTCTTGGATGAACTGAAGAACATGAAGTGCAGCGTCAAGAATGACCACTCTGCTTATAAGAGGTCAGAGCACCCTCCCCACATTCTGTCCTTCCCCAGCCTGGCTCTTCTTCCCCAGCCAAGGGGAAGGCATGGATGGAATCCTTCTGCCAGGTTCTGTCTCCAGAACCAAAGCAACCATTGCCCACATACAATGGGAATGGGCTTGTATTTCTTTTTGTGGTTTGAGGGATAAGGTGTAGAGCTGGGTATTTAGAGGGTTTACAGGGTTTTATCTCTTAGGATGGAATCTAATCCACATTCCATCTCCCTACCACTACCACACGGAGTAGTGGGGTTTTCTGTTGTCCCGTGTGGTATGAGACTATTAAGTTAGTCATAAAATAGTTATTTTTGGTGAGAATCAGGAAACCATTTCAAAATGCTTATATAAAAGAAGGAAATAATTGAAGACTGGAACCGCAAAGTTCAGGCATACTTGGACCCAGGTACTCAAAAGATGTTAGTCCTCCAGCTCTGTCCACCTCTCAGCTCAACTTTCCTCTATATTAGCTTCATTCTCAGGCAGGCTCATGGCCTATGGTGACTGAAGCTTCAAACTTCCCTCTGGCCAGTGTAGCAACTACTAAGGAAAGGAAGGGATGCTTCTTCACCAAACACTTTTTGCAAAAGTCCCCGGGAGGATTATCGTTCATCCATCTTGGGCTGTGTGGGCAGGGAGAGATGGGATGGTGCTCTGATTGGATGTGTTTACTCTTGGAGGTGGGAACTCAGTGTCAGTTTACAAGAAAGAAGAGCCAGAAGATCTGAGAAGGGGGTAGGAGGAGTCATTCTTCTCAAAAACCCAGGATGCAGTCATCCAACCGGGGGAATGGCAAGCACAACATACATCTTCTATGTTGATTAAAGCTCAGAGGAGCTGTCAAATGTCTGGACAAACAGCTTGGGAAGACATTCTATATTACTGACAGGGAGGGACCCTCCTCCTCCTTGGCCCACATCCCTCGGAGTTCTGAGGTAACTGGAGAAAGCAGAGAAGAGGCTGATTCTAACAATTTTATCCTCCTGGTTGAGCTGTGAAATCAGGGGCTCCCAGCAGGCAGGGCCTTATTGCAGTCCTGACTCAGAAATGACAACTTTCACAAAGATTTCATGTATAGCTCATTGTATACAGTCTTCCCCAAATATCTCCCGGTTATGGCCAACCACTTCCATTGCCACCACAACCCACATCTTCTGGTGACCACCTCGAGCCCTCAGCAGGGTAGGCATCCTATCTGCTGTTACATTTCATCACATAGGCTTCACCACCATCAGTTTAGGATGTGGGCATCCAGGCAGCTGAGGCTTTCTCTCTTCTGAGATCTATTTGTACTCCCTAGCCCATCATCCCTTCTTCTGTGTCCTGTTAGGTTAGGTAGACTTTTGTTTTTCATGCAATACTTGACTTTACAAACTTCTAGAACCAAAAAAAAAAAAAAAACCCACCTCACTGCCATCGAGTCAGATCCAACTCATGGCGACCCCTCCTTGGGTTTCAGACAAGGTATCACTATGGAAGTAGATTGCCCAATCTTCCTTTCGATGAGTGGCTGGTGGATTTGAACCGCCAGCCTTCTGGTTAGCAGTTAAATGCCTTAGGCACTATGCCACCAGAGCTAGAAACTTCTAGATTTTCTGATAAATAACCAAAAAAGTGACAAAACACAAACCATCCTGCCAATATTGTTCTCCATAACTTACACACTTTCTCTGGGGGGTTGAAAGTTGGCATAAGGGTGAGGGTCTCAGTTCACTTTTCTATCTTACCACTCTTGGCTTGTTTGTGGGATGCTGAGGGACTCACCAGCCACTTCTCAGAAGGAAGGTTGAGCACTCTACTTCTGTAGTGATACTGCCTCAGAAACCCAAGGAGGGGTCGCTGTGAGTTGGATCTGACTTGATGGCAGTGAGTTTGGTTTGGTTTTGGTTAAGGGACCCTAATGGTACAACAGTTAAGCACCATGGTTAAGCTGCTAACTGAAAGGTTGGAAGTTTGAACCCACCCCATGACTCCATGGGAAAAAGACCTGGTGATCTGTTCCTGTAAAAATTATAGCCTAGAAAACCCTATGGGGCATTTCTGCTTTGTCATGTAGGGCCATCATGAGTTGGAATTGGACTCTACAGCACCAAACAACAAGAGGTACTTTTAGGTGTCCCTGGATGGTGCAGATGGTTGGGGGTGCTCATCTACCCAGAGGTGCCTCAGAAGAAAGACCTGGTGATCTACTTCCAAAAAGTCAGCTATTGACAACCCTGTGGAGCACAGCTCTGCTCTGATATACATGTGGCCACCATGAGTCAGAGTTGACTCCATGGCAGCTGGCTTTAATTGCCTTTAAACTTTCTGAGTTTGAGTTTCAGTGATTTTAGGTGCCTTCTTCCCTTTTAATTTCAGGTACGTTTATCATAGGGGAGTAAACAGTCCCCCCAAAATGACTTCCCAACATACTTTCCATTGGCATTAAAGTAACTTGTGGTATTCATAGTATATTAATCTTGAGGAGGGACAGTGTGATTCTGGGCAGACCTTGGGCTGTGTGGGAGCTGGAACCCACGAGATATGGTTTATCCAGTTGGCTTGAGCAGTCCTCTTGGCAGCACCTACATTCTGTGTTTCAGGGCGGCACAGTTCCTGAGGAAGATGGCAGACCCGCAGTCTATCCAGGAATCCCAGAACCTCTCCATGTTCCTGGCCAACCACAACAGGATCACCCAGGTGATGGCACACTCCTTGTCCTGGTTTGGCTTCTCAGGGATGCCAGGCAGGGGCCTAGAGATAGAGTTTGACTGCAAGCAGACAAACTCAACCCAGACCTCTCTGTCTCCACTGCCTAGGCACAGCCTTCTGTGAGAATGAAATAAAGCTGCAATCTTAAATCTCCTCTCCCAACCACAGTTAATCCTTTAATCCTCTCCAGTTTTTGTTCTCTGAGCCTTTTCAGCCAGTGCTCTGCCCCTCCCATCAATGTAGTGGGTGAAACCATGAGTTCTGGAGTTAAACTGCCTTGTTTTCTAATCCTGGACTCATCATTGACCTACTGTGAGACCTTGGCTCTAAGCCTCAGTTTCCTCCTTTTGTAAAATGGGGCTAGTATTTTGAGGGTATTTTGAAAATCAATCACATCAGAGCCTTGTTGTGAGAAGTAAATGAAACAGTATATTAAAAAAAAAAAACTTCACACACAGTCTGGCATATAGTAAGCACTTTGGAAGCTATAGCTGTTATTGCTTCACTTTGCCAGGGCACCCACAGTCAGCTGTTGCTCTCACATTCCACAGTCTGGGCACAGCGTAATGTAACCCACTGCATTCATCTGTCGACCCAGTTTAAACTGACACTAGCAAGAATGCCAGCAGGACCCAGACTACACCTGGGAGAAAGCTGTTCCTGTTTCAGGGGTTTTAAGGCTCAAACCTCTCTCACGGAGGACCCCAAGCTCACACTGCCCATCCAACTCTTTGCTGACTGTGAAGGCTGCTCAGCCTTGGGTGCTTCAAGTTTTCCTTCCCAGGATTCAGCCCCATTTTGCTGTGGGGGAGCATTATCAGTAGATACCCCTTCCCCTGGAAACGCAGCAGGGGTCTCTTTTGTCCCTTGGCCCTCCTCCGACAGGAAATGTTTCTAGGCTACTTAACAGGAAGGAGACACCTACTGGCTCAGCTCTCCCCCACTGTGCTGACTCTTCCCTGCCATTGGTCTGAGGAGTCTAGTAGATAACCTCAAAACTAAACCAAAATTCCTATAGGCCTATTGATGTAAGGATTCCCTGGATAGTGTAAATGGTTAACACACTCGGCTGCTAACTGAAAGGTTAGAGGTTTGAGTCCAATCAGAGGCACCTTGGAAAAAAGGCCTAATGAGTTATTTCCAAAACATTAGCCATTGAAAACCCTATGGAGCACAGTTCTGTGAGTCTACTCTGACACACACGGAGTCATCACGAGTCAGAGTCGACTTGATGGCAACCAGTAAACCATAGAGCTGAGCTGCTTTTCAGTTCAGCCCAAGAAAAAACCTTTACCCTCAGAACAGCTGGGGAATAAAATCAAGGGCCTCAGGTGAGTGAGTTCGTGCCATGGGAGACAAGTAGGAACAGCCACTTATAGGGACATTGAGGAGAGGATTCAGGTACCAGCTGTGGCTGGTATGCAAGGTCCCCTCACTTGGGTGTGCTGTGACTCCCAGGCAGTGAGTGGGCACCATGCACCCTCAGACCCCCCTGGGTGGTCTGAATACTCTGTTGTGGTGTGGGTAAAGGTGTAGGAGCACAATGGATACTTACCTTACCCAGGACTCTGCTATTTAGTGTCTCCATCAGCAACTGGAAGTGATCCCTGGCTATGAGGAGCTGCTGGCCGACATTGTCAACATCTGCGTAGATTACTATGAGAATAAGATGTATCTGACCCCCAGTGAGAAACATATGCTCCTCAAGGTAAACCTTCCTGCATTCACATACCATGGGCCTCTGGTTGCACTCTCCCCTTCTTCTTATTTAAAATAATGGTTTAAAAACAATGTTTATTTTTTCTTGCTTAAATATTAATATAGCTCTTACTTCACCTAATGTCTTGTGATCTGCTCTTTCTACTTAATATATTATGCACACCTTTCCAAAAACAAGGATTTTTTTTTCACTTTTTTTTGTTTCTGAAGTTTATTATGATTTGGGTAAAAGTTTACAGAACAAATTTGTTTTCCATTCAGTAGTTCATGCACATACTTTTTTTGTGACATTAATTGAAATTCTCACAATGTAACAACTATCTTCCCACTTCCTCCCTATGGTTACTTTTTCCCTGTGTCTTTCTTTCTGTACCTCTTGTGCACTTCTCTGTATCTTCCTTTTCCTTAGTATCACCTCCTTTTGCTATGTTGCCTTTTTCCCTTCACCCAAATCATTATGTGTCTCTTACCTGGTTAGCATTATTCCCCTCCCTCCCCTCTCATCCCTGGTAACCAACAAAGAAAGTTTCCTTCTGTAATTGTTAATGGCTGCCAAGTATTCTATTGTATCAGAGACATTGTTCAGTAATGAATCTCCTACTGGTAGGTGTGTATTTGCTTATCACACTGAATACCCTTTTAGAACTGCCTTTGGGCAAAGTGGGTCTTCCTAGAAGAGAAGTTGCCAACTCAAAGGGAATATAAAAATCATCAAGCTTTTGTTTTATCTTGCCAAGATGGTCACCATTGTTTCATCAGTTTATAAGTTTTATTTTAAAGTTACAAGTAATATTTATTCATTGTGGAAGTTCCAGAATGTACAGAAAAACAAAAAAAATTCAAATCTCTCATAATGTTTCCATCCAGAGATAACACTTTTAGCATTTTGATGTATTTCCTACTAATTTTTTCTAGGCTTACATATTTTCCAAATATATGATACACTGATAAATGTATATTAACAATGTAAATTTATAAATAACTGTATTTTTAAAATATGAAATAAAAATACACATAAATTGTTTAATGTATAATTTTTATCCCATGTCATTAAATGTATTTGAGATATTATGCAGCCATTAAAATAATGTCATGTGGATGAGCCTTCGTTTGTTTAACCATTATTCTATTGTTAGCTGCTTATAAGTTGCCTCTGCATCAGCTCCAAATCATGGCAACCCCATACGTTAGCTGCTTTTTTGTTTCTAATTTCTCAGACAGAAGGTGAAAGTGAACAATCTCCATAAATCTCTTATTCTTTCTTCCCCAGAAGCTCCCTTTCCAAAGTCTCCTGGTAGATTTCCTTTCTTACCCTCTCCTCCAGCCCTGGAGGTGTTCCATTCTTTATATTCCCCTAGCATATCCATTAAGTTTTCAGAGCAGTGTGACTGTGAGGTGTGCTCTCCCTGGCTTCCTCTGGACCATCAGAAATGCAAAAAAGCCATTCAAAGTCCAGCTGTCCCTCATCTCCAGTTCTTGGCATAGGCAGTTACTGTAGCTCTCCCTAGGCTTACTGCTTTCACAAACCAGGTTACTAAATTCAAGTCCAGCTTACTAAATAAGATGTTGCCTTCACATCTTGGACCCTTTCCTCTCACCTGTCTTTAATCCTTCCACATGCAATGTCCCCAACTTCTTCCCTCTCTGTTTTCCACCCTCTTCAGTCTGCCCTCCAAAACTGCCATTTCACTTCTCTCTGCAGTGTGTATTAGTTAACTCACCTGCCACCAGGGGGTGCCACTAACCAGTAAATGGAAAAAAGTCTGAAGTTCCTCTAACATAACCACAAAATGCCACCTTGGAGGAAGCAACCTTAACAGTCCTCTGCTCTGATCTACTCTGAAGTATCAGATGAGAAATGGAGGCACAGAGAGAAAAATTGCCCGCAATCATGCAGCCACTGTGGGCCAAGGGAAGCTACTTTCATTCCAGTTGTCCAGGCCCCCTTCCAGCTGTACATTTGACGAAAGGATCAAAACCAGCCAGCATTCAGGAGATTCTTAAATGAACTGGAACATCAAGAAGTAGCCTTGATAGCTGACTCATTATAGGGCATTCTCAGTCAAAGTTTTTTGTTTTATTTTTTAATTCACTAATGGCTCTTCAGGAATCTTTACTTAGGTCAGGATTTTTTATATTCCTTCAGTGTTTAGCACGTATTCATCAAATGCCTATGATGTGCTAGATCCTAGGGATATAACAATAAGCAAAACATAGTCCTTCTCAAGAAACACCTAAATATATAAATTTTGTTTTCAGTCAGATCCTGGTTTAGATCCCACCTCTGCCACTTACTAGCTGTGTGACCTGAGCAAACTGCTTAGTCTCTCTGTGTCCCTTCTCTAGATTCCTCCTCTCATTTAGAATAAGGTTGTTGTATAGAATTTGACTTACAAGATTGTTGTGAGAATTAAAAGAGAACCCCTTTTAAAGTCCTAAACACAGTCTGAGCCATCCATAGTAAGAGCTCAAGAAGTAGTCACCATAGTAACATGCTAAAGGACCTCTCCATTTTATTTCACAGAAACAAATTTTTGGTTCAAATCAGACTGATGTTTCCCCTTTTTTGTTTGAAGATGTATGGGTTTTCAATAATATAATGTGTCTCTCCAGTGTCTTTGTGTATGTGTATGTGTGTGTCTGCTTTTTTTTTTGAGGCTTTTCAAATGGGTATGACTACTTATGCTCTGTCCCTTCTCATTCTAGGTTATGGGCTTTGGCCTATATTTGATGGATGGAAATGTCAGTAATATTTACAAACTGGATGCCAAGAAAAGAATCAACCTTAGCAAAATTGACAAGTTCTTTAAGGTCAGCAACTGGGGCTGGGGCTGTGCCGGGCCAGGGGAGGTTATCAGGGCCAAGTCTCTCTGGAGATAGGAATGAAGTTAGCCAGGGGAACTTGATGGTTGTGATGTAGTTCTAAAGAGGAGATCAGCGGGGAGGAGAGCAGAATGGGAAGCCCCAGCTGCCCAGTGGAGGACTATGTAACATAGGAGGCTGCCCCAAGGAAAGTCACACATGCTTCCAAGTCTCAGTCCAGAATTTGTCTGGGAAGCCTAATGATTCTTTTCACATACTATTTTTGTTTCCTTTTCTGAAATCCCTTATTATCTTAAAAAAAAAAAAAGTGTACCCCAGCATATAGCTCCTGCTTTAATTTTTAGTGCAAATCAGAGCTCACAGAAGTAGACAGATTAAAGTTGGGTTTTAAATTGATTCACATTCACAGAATCACATCCTCTTGCCTGGCTCACCAAAGACCATCTGAGCTTGCACTCAGCCTGTGGGCAAAGGCCTCATCAGTGTCTGTGCACATGCTTAGTCTTGAGCATGTCCATTCCAGTACCTCATAGATTTGAACTTTTGGCCACAAACATATAGAAGTAAAAAAATCGCAGTTAAATTAAGCCTTTAAGTTTTTTGCAAGGGAATTTCAGATTTTAGAATTGAATTCCATTTTATCATTTTATTCTAGTGTTGAACCTGAGTAGGTAAACATAAAAAAGCCCAGCTTAACACTGAAAAGAAAAACTGTTGAAGCTATGGCATAGAGGACACTGCCTCCCACCAACTTTTCAAGATCTAGGGGAAAATAAATCACCAAAGGAATCCTATAGCTCTCGTTTGCTTTTCAAGGCTGGAACTTTTATTTTTCTTAGAAATGCCCCAAATGGAAAAAGGGCCTATATTGAAAGATCCTTGCAAACTCTCACTGCCTTAAATCAGTATGAATGAGATGGAGTGGAGTGGAAGACCTCAGCCTCACCTAAAACAGATCTGGATTCTGGTTCTGCCATTTTATAGCTGGAAGTTGCTTAAAAAAAGCCCCACCAGTTGCCGTTGAGTCTGACTCATGGTGACCGCATGTACTGACGAGTAGAACTGCATATCATAGAGTTTTCCATGGCTGTGACCTTTCAAAAGCAGATCACCAGGTCTTTCTTCCGAGGTACCTCTGGGTAGATTCGAACTGCCAGTCCTTCAGTTGGTAACCAAGCATGTTAATCATTTGCACCACTCAGAAACTCTAGGAAAGTCACTAACCCATGAAACTCAGTTGCCCAGATTGAAAAATATGAACGGAAAGGGTATTTATTTTTCATGGTTCCCTTGAGGATTAGGGAGCTCTGGTGGCGTAGCGCCTAAGGCATTTGACTGCTAACCAGAAGGCTGGCGGTTCAAACCCACCAGCCACTTCTTGAAGGAAGGTTGGGCAATCTACCTCTGTAGTGATACCTCATCGGAAACCCAAGGAAGGGTCGCTATGAGTCAGAACCAAATCAACGGCAGTGAGTTGGTTTGTTTTTCTTGAGGATTAAGTGAAATTACAGGGGTAAATCAAAACCCTGAGTTATACTCTTGGCTCTTTGATGTCTAGGTGATGTGACTTTTGTGAAAAGCCCCTGGATCTGTCAAAGCTTCAGTTTCTTCATCTGTAAAATGGAAGTGATAATAGGGCTTAACTTCAGATGGTTATTACATGGATTGATAGTGTTTTAAAAACACTTGGCAGAGTGCCTACTCAATCAGAAGCAGAAAATAACCACTCGCCTTGCCTCTGAGGAACCTTACTGGAGCAAGTATTTAAGTGCTCAGCTGTGAACCCACCAGCAACTCTGCAGGAAAAGAATGTGGCACTTTGCTTCCACAAAGATTACAGCCTGGGAAACCCTATGGGACAGTTCTACTCTGTCCTAAATGATCACTCTGAGTTGGAATTTACTCTCTGAAAATGCCTTCTCCCGCCCTCTGCCTTAGGGTTCTGGTGGGGGTTGTCTGCCCTCTAGTGTTAGGTATTATGATTTCACTTACTTTGAGTATGGAATTTCTCAAGCCTTCTGCATCCAGACAGCAGCAGCACCCAAACACCTCTGCTGGCCCACAGTTCTGAGCAGCATGAATCCTCTAATGTGGGTAAAATTACAGAAAGGATGCTGCACTGGGGTGCGGATCGTTGGGTCCATGTCCATTATCCATTCTGCTAGGTGATCTTGGACAACTCATTCTGCCTCTCTGGGCTCAGTTTTCTGGAATATGAAGTTGGTTTGGAGGGACAGGAGTCTCCTTCTGTTTCAGGGTCACATGGTAGCATCATTGGAGGCAGAAACTAGGAGTTGGCCCAGAGGCACACACAGTGGCCTGCCTTCCCCACTGAGCTGGCCAAGGCTGCACCCTAGCCCCTCCCTTGGTGACTCAAACACTGTGTTTGCTTCCTTTGCAGCAGCTGCAGGTGGTGCCCTTATTCGGCGACATGCAGATAGAGCTGGCCAGATACATTAAGACCAGTGCTCACTATGAAGAGAACAAGTCCAAGTGAGTGCCTGCCGTAATGTCTCTCGGCTCCCGTGAGCAAGCCCAGCCCGGGCAGGGGGCCCGAGGGGCCACTTAAGCCCCTCCTCCCTCCCCAGAGCCCTGGGCAGGTGGATCCTGTCACAACACTGGTACTCGGCCAGAGGGGAGCCTTGGAGCGTGCTCTGAGCCCTTTTGTATCCACCTTTGCTTCCAGTGCTCAAAAGGGCCCAGAGCACAGCCATGGCCCCTTCTCCATCCAGCGGTGACCCACACTGCCCCCTGGTGAGACAACAAAGTCTTTCCCTTGAGAAGTGGGGAGCAGAGGTGGGCTCTCTCAGTGATTATGTGGAGTGAGATGACATTGGTCTTCATCTGGGTTTTCTTCACTCTGATTCTCTCCTCAGGTGTTCTATCCATGCAGTAAGTATGCAGTTGAGTATATGCTTTGGATGGTTCCAACTGTGAAGCGGGTTGATGGCCTCATCTTAGATCAGTTTATAAACCATGATTTAAAGTAGTCTGTGCCAAGATTGGAGGAGCCCTGGTGATGCAGTGGTTAAGTGCTCAGCTGATAACCAAAAAGTCAGCAGTTCAAACCCACCAGCTGCTCCATGGGAGAAAGATGAGGCAGTCTGCTCCCATAAAGATGTACAGCCTTAGAAACCTAATGGGGCAGTTCTACTCTGTCTTACAGGGTGGCTATGAGTCAGAACTGATGCAATGGCAATGAGTTGGGTTTGGTGCCAGGATTTGGGTTATCAGTGCCTCATGGAAGTTGAGGGAGTCTGGCTGTAGCCTTGACTACCCCTTTGATCTTTGCAATTGTTAAAGAGGTTTCTTCTGTGTCCATCTCTCTCAAAGCTGAGTACTTGGTTGAAAAACGTGACCTTTCCATACAGAAAGAGCCAAGCATCCTTTAGCCAAGGGGGAGGGCATTAGTGCCTTAGAAGTATGTGCATAGATAGTTACAGAGGCTCCTAGCCATATCCAAATATCTGACAGGATCAATTTGCTGGGTCGTAGGGCTTGGGACTATAGTCTCGGGGGACAACTTAGTCAATTGCCCTAACCCAGTCCACAGAGATAGTATTATACCTCATAGTTTGGTGAGTAGTGTCACAAGTCTTAAAAGCTTATGAGCAGCCATGTGAGACACAACTATTGGTCTCTAATCATATAGAGAAAAGAGAATGAAGGAAATCAAAATACATGCACATGGGGATGCAGGAGGGCTCAAAGAAGAAACTAGTTCATGAGACTAACAGCCCACATGAGCCATAGCCTATTCTAACTTGAGACCAGAAGAACTAGATGGTGCCCGGCTACCACTGTCAACTGTTCTGACCAGGGACATGGTAGAAGGTCCTGGATAGAATGGAGGAAAAATGTAGAACAAAACTCAAATTCCTAAGAACAGCCAGACCTACTAGGCTATTAGAGACTAGAGGAACCCCTGAATTGCCCTAAAATACTCTTTGAACTTGAAATTGAAGCTATTTCTGCAGGTCACATTTCAGCCAAATAATAGATAAACAGTATCACCTGTGAGTAATGTGCTCCCTTAAACAATTAACTGTATGAGACCAAATGGTCAATATTTACCCAAAAGGCAAGGAGGGGCAGGGAAGCTAGATCAATGGAAACAAAACAAACTGAATGGAAATAATGAGAACGCTGACTCATCATAAAAATTGTAACCAATGGCATGGAACAATTTGTATAAAAATGGTTAAAGTTTGCTGTATAAGCTTTCACCTAAAACATAGTAAGATATTATTTAAAAAAAAAAAAGTATGTGCATAGAGTGTCCTTGAACTCCACCAGCCTGGAGCCCTACAGATGAGTCTGACCAAGGAAGATAAGTTTAGTCTCTTAATATCCCACCGGCTGCAGGTGGGTGAGGAAGAAGTTTTAACAGGAAAACAGAGTCAGAAACACTGAACTTGTTTCCTCACTTTTCCCTAGAGGAATTATCAGCCATCTGAAGTTGCTTGAGAATGGAGGATGCTTATGTACCCAGGGCAGAGTGTCAGAGGCTTGAGTGATGGTAGTGCCTCATCCCTACCCAAGTAATTCAAAACAGAAGTAAAACCACAGTGCACAATAAACATGAGGAAGTCGGCCACCATTCTGCTTATTTTTATGAGGACCACTTTAGTGCTCCTTTTGAAATAGTGAATTCTTTCCAAAATGTTTTTCCATCCTCTTTTGGTGCCCTAGCTTTAATTTCATGCCAGTCTGTCCCTGGGTCACCCAGCACCAGATGGTAGAAGAAGATAAGGGAGCTCTCTTATATTCCTCTTGGGAAAGGAGAATGAAAAGTTTTATTCCAATTCTGGATGGTTTTCCTAGTGATGTCTTCCAAAAGGGACAGGAAAGGAAGGGGGAGAAGGATGGGAGGGAGGGAGGAAAGAGAGAGAGCGGGAGAGAGAGAACCAAAAGATGCCTCTCAGAATAATCTTGGCTCCCTCACCATGGGGTGCTTGTATGTTGCCAGGCCCCTGTTGAAAAAGAGGCATACTCCCATTCAGGTTTTCCCAATCCCAGCCCAAAGGCCCCCTCTGAATCTAAGTAGCAACCATAGGATGGCAAGTCAGAGATGTTAGGGAGGTTGCCCAGCCTGTTTTTTCTTTGCTTAGATTCCAGTCCCTTGTAGGCCTAGAGAGGCTGCAAGTCCCTCCTTGCTTGCTTGTTCATATACCGGGTAAGTACCTGGACAGGGTACCTGGAAAAAGCCTGTGATTAGGCCTTAGACAAGGCCAACCCAAAAGGAGAACGAGGAAGGACTGTTGTTACTCGGCCTGCAGTCCCTATGGCATTGGATTTATCAGGCTCCCTTGCTAAGGTGCCTGGGATACCTCTTGGGTTCCACCAAGGGAAGCTGGCCAGGTTGGCTGAGTGTTGGAGGCGTCAGGAGCAGCTACTGTGTGGAAGGAGCCTGTCCCATCCTGGCACTTCAGGTAGGACTTTCTCTGACCCATGATTTTTTGCCCAGGTGGACGTGCACCCAGAGCAGCATCAGCCCACAGTACAACATCTGCGAGCAGATGGTGCAGATCCGGGATGACCACATCCGCTTTATCTCTGAACTCGCACGCTACAGCAACAGCGAGGTGAGCATCCTCTGGCTGCTAGAATGGGTGTGTATGTGGGCCAAGGAGCAGGAGGGGGAAGGACCAGCCAGGACAGAGCGTGGACACACAGGACAGTGGAGATTAGGAGTGAGGACAGTCACATTGGGAGACAGGAGGGCACAAACCCAGCAGAACTGGATTTGATTTTGGCTCTGCCCTGACCATGAGCAAGCTATTCAACATTTTTGTGCCTTAGTTTTCTCACCTCAGAAATGGAGATAATAATAGTACCTACCCTCAGTGATTCATTGAGAAGATAAATGATATGATTGAAGATACTTGGGATGTGCACTGTGCCTGGAATATGGTAACTGTGAGTTCTGCATGTGTATGATCCAAACCATCTCCACTCTGGATGGCAAGAGCAGATTCCTGAATCCTATACTCCTAACACCATCTAAATATTTTATAACTACACAATAGTAAACAATCATTGTAAAAAAAAAAAACTAAAACACATACAATTAGGAGCAAAGAAGACCATAAAAATCTCTTATAATCTTAATAACCAAACCAAAAACCAAACGCACTGCTGTGGAGTTGGATCCGACTCATAGAAACCCCTCCTTGGGTTTCTGAGGCAGTATCACTACGGAAGTAGATTGCCCAGCCTACCTTCTGAGGAGTGGCCGGGAAATACCAGCCTTTTCGTTAGCAGTCAAATGCCTTAGGCACTACGTACGCCACCAGAGCTCAACAATAATCTTAACAGGTTCTTATTTTTCCTAATAATTTCATTTTTATTGATGTTGAGTTTTTTCCTTTTTTTCTTGGTATGAAAACATGATCAATGTACAGATCTCAGGAAGAAAATTCAGATATGCAAAGAGAGAAATCAGTCACATAAAATCATGCCATCCAGTGCTAAGACTATTTCTAATCTTCAGGTATATATGTCCTTCTGGACCACTCTCTACATTAGTGTAATAAGTATACATGCTGTTTCAATAAACATAGGTCACCTGACTTGAATTCTTTATTATTGTTGTTGTTATGTGCCGTTGAGTTGGACCCAACTCATAGTGACCCCTCCTTGGGTTTCCGAGGCAGTATCACTATAGAAGTAGATTGCCCCATCTTCCTTCTGAGCAGTGGCTAGTGGGTTTGAACCACCAGCCTTCTGGTTAGCAGTCAAGTGCCTTAGGCACTATGCTACCAGAGCTCCTAGTATTACTCCTGAGCTGGAGGCTGTGGGTGGTGCAGAACAGTTAACATTCTCAGCTTCTAACCAAAAGGTTGGAGGTTTGAGTCTACCTAGAGGTACTCAGAAGTAAGGCCTGGTGATTTACTTCAGAAAAATCACCCATTGAAAACCCTATGGAGCACGGTTCTTCTCTGGCACACCTGGGATCACCCTCATTTGAAATCAACTCAGTGACAACTGAAGTCCTGGATTACTACTCTGTGCTACGCCATGTTTAAGGAGCCCTGATGGTACAGTAGTTAAGTACTCAGCTACTAACCAGAAGGTTGACAGTTCAAACCTACCAGTTGCTGCATGGGAGGGAGATGTGATGGTCTGCTTCCATAAAGATTCCCAGCCTTGGAAACCCTATAGGGCAGTTTTACCCTGTCCTGTAGGGTCGCTATGAGTTAGACAATGCGTTTGTTGGTTTTTGTTTACCTGTTTGCTCACTGGCTCCATCTTGTGGCTAGTGGTCTGAGTGATCATGCTTTACAAACCCAAATTCAGAAATATGTTTAATCATTCTTGTGAGTTGTCATCATGTTGATTCTGACTCAGGGGAAGCCTGTGTGTGCAGAATAGAACTCCATAGTTTTCAAGGCTGTGACTTTTGGAAGTAGATCGCTGGGCCAGTCTCTCAAGGTGCCTCTGGTAGATTCGAACCGCCCATCTTTCATCTTGTTGTCAAATATTTAATCATTTGCACCATGCAGGAACTCCCCATTTGACCATAGGGCAGCATATTTGGTGGTGTGGTCATTGGGCCATTGGCCCACGTGCTTGTGAGGGCTCCCGGTAGACAATGACCAGGTCAAGCCCAAACCATTGGTACTCTTCACGCATGCCAGTCCACTGACCTAAAGCCAGGGTATCATTTATCTCGGTGCTGGGACCTTCTCAATTCCTCATGTTTTGGTGTGGGCTAAGAGTGAGTCTGACTCAAAGTTATTTTTAGAAACTACAGACATAAACCAAACCACATGCACACACACACACACATACACACATGCTTTATGTATATGTATATGCATAATTATACATACATATAATATTATACTTCATTGTCAGATACAGCACATACAGATATTTGATAGTCTACTTTGTTGTTGTTGTTTGCCGTCGAGTCAGCCCTGACTCATAGCGACCCCTCCTTGGGTTTCCAAGGCAGTATCACTACGGAAGTAGGATTGCCCAACCTTCTTTCCAAGGAGTGGCTGGTGGGTTTGAACTGCCAGCCTTCTGGTGAGCAGTCAAGTGCCTTAGGCACTATGCTACCAGAGCTCCTAGATAGTCTACTTTAGTGCTCTTCAATCCATGAGTGATAACTAATTAATGAATCATCAGATCATGTGAGTGGATTGTGATGGCACTTTTATATGAAATAGAATGGAAAATCAGAGGAAATTACATGTATTAAGAATAAGATTGCTTCATGGAAAATGTTGTTTCACATATATATTGAATACCTCCATGTAAGTATGTGTTCCTAGGTCATTTTATAACATTTACATTTTACTGTGAGTTTCAGTCAAAAAAGTTTGAAAGCTGCTGCTGCATGAGATCCAGGGTGGTGAACAGTGGGACTGTGGTATCATACCACCTGAATTTGTACATTGAACCATGTGCAAGCCATGTGGCCTCAGCAAGGCACTTAACTGAGCCACAGTTTACCTGTCAAGGGAGTATCATAATAGCACATTCCTTATAGTGTTCTTGGGAGGAATCAATGAAATAATAAATAAACAGTGCCAAATGCTTAGACAGGCAGAGTGACAACCAGTGTTCCCCAGGTGGTGACGGGCTCTGGGCTGGACAGCCAGAAGTCAGATGAGGAGTACCGCGAGCTGTTTGACCTGGCTCTGCGGGGCCTGCAGCTTTTGTCCAAGTGGAGCGCCCACGTCATGGAGGTGGTAGGTGCCTGGTGGGCAAAGGGCCCTGCCCCCATCTGTCCCCTCCAGACTGATCCCTTTTCACTTAGGTTCTGTCTCCACCTTTCTCCAGTGCCTTTTTTTTTTAAAAACAGCTGATTTGAGATATAATTCATATACCATACCATTCACTCATTTAAAGTGTATAATTCACTGACTTTTTTAGTATATGCACAGAATTGTGGAGCCATCACCACAGTCAATTTTAAAACATTTTCATCACCTCAAAAAGAAAGTGCATACCCGTTAGCTACCTCCGCCTTCCTCCCTTTCCCCAAGGCCTTGATGTGTGCCATTGAGTTGATACTGACTTACAGAGACCCTAGATGACAGAGTAGAACTGTCCTGTGTGGTTTCCTATGCTGTAATCTTTATGGGAGCAGGTCTTTCTCCCATGGAGCCACTGGTGAGCTAGTGCTTAACCTTCACACCACCAGGGTTCTTCCCCAAGGCCTGTGCAACCACTAATCTACTTTATCTCTCTAGATTTCCCTCTTCTGGACATCTTGTCTAAGTTGAGTCATATAATACATGGTCTTTTGTGACTGGTTTCTTTCAGTTAGATTAATGTTTTTGAGGTTCATCCATGTTAGAGCATGTATCCATTGTTCATTTCTCTTTGTGGCTGAATAACATTCCCTTGTATGGCTGTGCCACATTTGGGTTACCCATTCATCAGTTGATGGGCATTTGGGTTGTTTCCACTCTTCCCAGTACTCTTGGAAGTTGGTTCACCCCACAGACAAGTTCTGCAACAAGGACTGCCCTGGGACAGCAGAAGAGTATGAGAGAGCGACGCGCTACAATTACACCAGTGAGGAAAAGTTTGCCTTTGTGGAGGTAGGTGCTGCCTCCCTTCCGACCTGGAGAGGCAGTTGTTCAGTTTCTGGTGGTGGTTCCAAGAGTGGTCCTGAGTCAAATAACAGTGTTGGTCCTCCTGATTCGTACCTTCCGCCCTTGCCCCCTTCTCCATTCAAGTACTTGCTGTCATCAATATCAATCCCTATCAAAATTTATTATCGAGGAGTAGTTCCAAACTCATTCTGCTCTTAAAACTACATAAGAAAAGACTGACCACCCCATGAAAAATGTGGGTAACCAACAGAGGAAAAACAAATGGCCAAGAGACATGAAAAAATACTCAAACTGATGAAAAACTAAATTAAAACTAAGATGGCATACAGTGTTTACCAATCAGGATGGCAAAGATTTAAAAGATTTGTATCATATGTTATTGGTTGAAATGTAAGAAACAGAATTTCTTGGAAACCTTCAGAGGCTGCCTACATTTTATAGGCTTACTAGATAATATGTATCCAAATGTTTAATGTACATACCCTTTGGCTCAGAAGTTGTTCTGTGAATATATCCCAGGGAAATAAGCCTACTGTACAACTCTACAACTGCAGAAATGTGTACATAGATATTTATCACAGTATTTATAATGCTAAAACACCTTACATAGCCTTCAAATGGGACCAGGTAGGCAAATTAAAGTGCAGCTATGTAATTGAAACTGTCGTCACTAAAATAGAATTTCCTACATGGAAAGATATGCACAGTATATTAAGTTTAAGGAAAAAACAAACATTAAAGAACAGCATGTAAAATGATCCCACATGTACTAAAATTAATATACGTTTGTGTATTTGCATTAAAATATAAAGGACATAGATATTTATCTATACCAAACCATTAACAGTAATCATTTCTGGAGGGAAGATTCTTACTTCTTGCTTTACAACCTTCTGGATTGTTTTTTGTCCGTTTGATGACAATAAGATTTTCTATTTTGGAGGGAAGTTCTCATTCACACTAGGCTGTGAGTGATGGCTACCTCTTTCATGAGCATCTGAACTCTAGAAGAGACTAGTTTACAAGTCAGAGACCTGAATACTAGCTCAGGCCCTAGGTCACTTCATCTCTCTGAGCCTCAGCTTCCTTACCTGTAAAATGGAGCTAGTAATCTCTACCCTCTTCCATCCCAGGGTTCTTGCTGAGAGTCTCAACATATGTCAAAGAAAATAATGGATGTAGATGAGCTTTGAAAGCTGTAAAGAGTCAGACAGATGTAAGGGGTTAGGGTTGTTATTAGCAGCTCTGCAAGCTATACTTTAAAGGACTGGAGCCCAGAGGTGTAATTTCAGGCTGAAAAAAAAAGTTAAAATCACACTTGACGTTGTCCTGAATGGTCCTTTGACCCCTTGGCACTTCCATTGCCAATATCAGCCTGGAAAGAAAAGTCTTTCAGTCATCATCACTGGAAGAGAAAGCCATCCTTAGACCTATTTAAAATGAAAATTGCAGTCAGAGGGTCCATGCAATTTTTTGTAAAACTGTTAATGTGTTTCTTTCCTTAATAAAAGGAATATGTTTGTACTATGTTTAATTTAAGATCCCTAGGTGGTATAAAGAGTTTAACTTGAGTGCTAACTGAAAGCTTGTGCCAAAGGGGCAAGGAGGCCGCATCTTCTGATCTCCTCTAAACTACACAAGAGGAAGACAGAATCACTATCAGCAGCCTAAGGCCTATTCCTGCAAGGGCAGACATGCTGCCACCCTCCAGCCCTTTTACTAACCTTGACATCAACTGTTCCTCCTGCAGCACCCACCATCTCTCTCCTGGGTTCGATAATTCACTGCAGTGGCCACACAGAACTCACAGATTATGGGGTTTATTAGGGAATCAACAGGCTATAGTTAAATTTCAGGAATGTGCTCAGTCTCTCGCAGCTTGCCTTGTTTCTCAGTCTAGCTCAGTAGCACATCTCTCTCCCAGCAGTATATGTCTCTCACATCTCTCTCTCAGCAGCACATCTTTCTCAGCCAGCAGTGAGAGAGACTCCTGCCTCTAGGAAGCCTCCTTTTGAGCCTGGCAGAGTGGCCCAAATTAACCAATCCCAGCATCAGAATTTTTTACACCCGAGAGAGAGAGAGAGAGAGAGAGTGAGAGTGAGAGAGTGAGTGTGAACTTCCCAGAAGATTACTTTGTGCCACTCTCAACAGAAACAGTCCAGGTGGATAACTTTAACAATCAGGAGCTTCTCAGTTGCTCAGGGCAAATTCCACCACAGAGTTTACAAAGACTCTGGCTAGAAAAGACATACCATATAATTTACTACACCACAGCTTGGTTGTGGAAGAAAGGCTTAGCAATCTGCTTCTATAAAGATTGCAGCTAAGAATATCCTATGGAACAGTTCTACTTTAACACATGGGGTTATGATGGGTCAGCATCAACTCCATAGCAATGGGATTTGGTTCACTACTTTGTTTCTTTTGGTAGGTAATTTGGAAAATGCTCCTCCCAGCCCGACTCCCACTCTCACCTTCCCAAAGTCTCATATCATTCAAAGACAACTACCAGTAGCAATTTACTATATTTCTTTCTAGTCCTTACTTTTTTGTGCATTTAGAAATGTTAAAATTTTTATTTCATTCCTAAAACATTTTTTAAACAAATTTTTAAAGAAAAAATAGCTGAACATAGCATGTAGCAACAATAGAACAAATGAAGGCACCCTTCCTCACCCTGAATTCCCAAACAGGAGACATCTTTCAATTCTTTAAGCTATTTCTTCTGATATTTATCTATGTATTTCTAAGTATCATGATCATGGATTATTTCTTGGTTTTCCAATTTATGACATTTTCTATTGATTTCTCACTTTGAGAGATAAGAATTTAGCTTTCTCACCTTCATCTTCTACTCCACAACTCACTCAGTTCTTTTTCCTCGTCTTCCCAGTGTGGTGATTTTACACTTTTTGGTTAAATCAATAGTTCCTTTATATTTTTATGGCCAAGTAACTATTGTTTATTGCTAAGCTGTAGTGGTCTGTATCTAGCCAAGATATAAAATTCTAAATTACAAACAATTTTCTTCTAGAACTTGGTCTTTTTTGTTTTCTAATGTTTCTGCTAAAAATCTGGATTCTATTGTCTTTTTGTTTCTAATGTTCCTGCTAAAAATTTGGATTCTATTCTGATTTCTGACTCCTTTGTAAAAATGTTTTAATAACTACTTACTGAAATATAATTCATATACCATAAAATGCACTCTTTTAAAATAATTCAGTGATTTTTAGTATATTCACAATCACACAGCCATCATCACCACTATCTAATTTTAGGATATTATTATTACTTAAAAAAAAAAAAGAAAACTTCATCCCTTGCAGACATTCACCATCCACCCTTACCCCCAAGCCTCAGACAATCACTCACCTATTTTGTTTGTCTCTGTACATGTACCTGTTTTTTTGTATCTGTGTATCTAGCTATCCCAAGACCATTTGTTGAAAAGAATATTCTTTCTCCATTAAATTGCTTTGATTCCCTTGTCGAAATTATATTGATTATTAATGTAAGGGTTTATTTCTGGACTCTCAGTTATTTTTCATTAATCTATCTATTTATAATTTGGCAATACCACACTGTTTTATACCTTTGTAAGTTTTGATATCAGAAAGTGTGAGTCCTCCAACTTTATTTTTCTTTTTCCCATGTAGAATTTTATAGGGTCATTGCTATATGCCTTTTGTTCTGAAATTCCATAGTGAGGCATCTTGGTGAGGGCTTTTTGCATTCATTGTTTTAGGTACTACATAGGCCATTTCATTGTGAAAACAAATAAATGTCCATTAGCTCTGAGAAATTTCCTAGAATTTTCATTTTGATAAACTTTTCCTCTCTATTTTCTCTACTCTTTCTTTCTAAGATTTCAAACTGACAAGTATTGGGCATCTTGGATTTAATCTCTAGTTTTCTTATCTTTTCTCTTATTGTACATTACTTCTTTTTGGTCAGATTTATGGAATATTTCCTCAAAATCATCTTTAAACTCTATTAGAATATTTTTTCAATGATAATATTTTTAATGTCCAAAGTCTCTGTCTTATTCTTTGAATGTTCTGTGTTTATAGTGCACTGATCTTGTGTCATGAGTGTAATATCTCCATGAGGATAATTACAATTTTTATAATCAATTTTATTGAGATAGAATTCATATACAATATACAGCATCTATTTACACTGTACATTTCAGAGAATTTTGACAGTTATATATACCTGTGAAACCACCAACACAATCAGCATACAGAAGGAACATTTCTGTCTCTCCCTAAAGATCTCATGTGCTACTTTGCAGTCTCTCCCTATCTCCTCCATCCCTAGACCCAGGCAACCACTTATCAGCTTTTTGTCATCATTGACTAGTTTGCATTTTCTAAAATTTTGTATGAATAAAATCAGATAGTGTGTACGTTTTGTGTTTGGCTTCATTGACTTAGAATAATAATTTTGAGATTTGTCTGTGTTGCTTTATATATCTGTAGTTTGTTCTTTTTTTTAATCTTGAGTATTATTTTACCATATGGATATATCGTAGTTTACATCCATTGTTAATGAATAATGCACTGTTTCCAGTTTTGTTTCGGCCAGTATGAGTAAAGATGTTTTGAATATTTGAGTACAAGTTTTTGAGTGGACTTATGTTTTTATTTTACTTGAAATGTTTATGTGGTAGGTTTATGTTCAACTTTTTAAGAAACCACCAAAAAGTTTTCCAAAAGTGGTTGTACAGTTTTACATTCCCACCAGCAATATATTAGCAATACATTTGCTCAAAATCCTCACCAGTCCTTAATACTTCCATCTTAACTAATTCAGCCATTTTAATGCATATTCAATCAAATCTCATTAAGCTTTATTTGCATTTCCTTGAAAAATAAAGTTGAGCATCTTTCATGTACTGATTTATATATCTTCTTTTGTGAAGTGTTATCTGCTGAAATATTTTGCTCATCTTTTAAAATTGAGTTGTTAGTCTTAGTCGATTATGAGAATTTTTTATATATTCCCGATATAAGTCCTTAACCATATAATGTTGAAATTATTATTTTTTTCTTATTGGTGACTTGCCTTTTCATTTTCTTAAATATGTATTTTCAAATGCAACTCTTTAATTTTGACAAAATTAAATTTATCAAATATTTTGAGACTTGGAATTTTTGTATCCTATGTTAGAAATCTTTCTCTATGCCAGGGTTGCAAATGTGACTTTATCGCAAGACTATGACAGCCTTTCTAATCCTCCTCCATCCCATTTACCTTACCCACTGGGTAACAGACAAAGTACATCCCTCTCTTCCTCGGATGGGGAGGGAGGGATGATTATTACAAGGAGAGGATAGGAGCCCAGAGGAAAAGGCGCACACATTGCAGGCCAACGGGTCAGACCAGGTGTGCTCATCACAGAGACCTGTCTCCGATTCAGACAGATAAGTGAAGGAGGCGAATAGAAGGGCAGAAACTTTTCTCCCATAACTTCTACAGGGGAAGATATTTCTGTTTTATGGATCCAAGCAGTAACTGGCTAAATTATTTGAAAAGCAAGGATTATAAATACTCTTTAGAAAATTTACAATAAAAAAAAAAAAATCTATCTGACATGGTATACAGGTGCATGATATATGGAGAGGCCTCTAAAAGTCAAAGTGCTACTTAGATTGTGGTCCATGGATTAACTGCCACTTGTCACCAGTCCTCAATGAATAAGCACTGGTGCCAGAATGAAAATCGACAAATTTATAAAACATACTGTTCAGTTTAACTGACATCTTCGTTTTGTAGTCAGAGTTTCTTGATGAAGGAAACAGAGTATTGGCTTAGGTTCTGGTATACGTTTCTTACCTAGTTGTGAACCTCCACTCCCAGTAGCATTAGCGTAGTGCTTATGGATATCTCACACCATGTCTCCCCAAGATGTGGTGGATGGTATAGGGTAGCTTGTTGTGCCAAACCCCTGTGAGCCTGACCTTAATCTGTACCTGGTCAGGTGATCGCCATGATCAAAGGCCTGCAGGTGCTCATGGGCAGGATGGAGAGCGTGTTCAACCAGGCCATCAGGAACACCATCTACGCAGCCCTGCAGGACTTTGCCCAGGTGACTCTGCGTGAGCCCCTGAGGCAGGCAGTGCGGAAGAAGAAGAACGTCCTCATCAGGTGGGTCTTCAAGGGGTCCTTTCCAGGAATGCAGCAAAGTTAGCAGAGCTTGGTATAAGCTAGAGAAGTAGTCCCTGGCTCAGTCAGCTTCTGGGGCAGCTTCAACTCACACAGACCCTTCTAACAAGTTTCCTTAATCAGGTGTCCCTCTTAGGAGACTTTGGACCTTTGTAATGAATTAAGCTTTAGTTTCCCTCTTTGAAGCCCCTTTCCACCATTGTCTAGACAGGTGAACTTAATCAAGGTACTTTCCTGCTCCAAACCTCAATTTTCCTCATTGGTAAAACGGGGATGATCATAGTACCTATTTTATAGGCAGCTGGGATGATAAAATGAGATAATCCATTTGTAGAGCTAGGCACACAGCACTATGGGGTATGTGTGCAGCACATAGAAATTATTGTTAAATATTTAAATCCACAGAGATTTCATTGGATTAATGAGACTTCCCTTTAGCCAAAGAGAAAAATAGCCATTCTGCTATACTTAAGTTCTCTCCCACTGTGTAGGCTCAGAGCTAGGTGTTCAAATGTGTACTGGGCATCAGAATCACTTGGGACACTAATTAAAATGCAGATTTTGGAACTATACCTCAAATCTATTGAACTAGCACCTCAGGGATGGGCCCAGGGGTGTTTTACTAGTACCCCAGTAATGCTAATGCAGACATTCCTGGGACATCACAAGCCTAGAAACACAGACTTGCAGTGCCTTTCCAGTGTCACACCTTGTCTCAGTTTCAGCTCTTCCATCCCCAGTGTCCTGCAGGCAATTCGGAAGACCATCTGTGACTGGGAGGGAGGCCGAGAGCCTCCCAATGACCCATGCTTAAGAGGAGAGAAGGACCCCAAAGGTGGATTTGACATCAAGGTGCCCCGACGTGCTGTGGGGCCCTCCAGCACACAGGTAAGTGGCTCCAGGCACAGGCTGGCTTTCTGGACTCAGACCAGTCGGGCCACAGTGTGTCATCTTGGCTGGACCTCAGGGCAGTGGGGCTGGGGGTTCTTGGGCAGGAGGAGCAGGGTCAAGCGGCTGCTCTAGTTTTACTCTTCCATCTTGTTTTGATATAGGAGGGAGGACCACTGGCTTAAGATTCAGGAGACCTGGATTCTAGTCCTAGATACCTGTGTGACCTCGGGCATATTACACAGTCTCTCTGTGCCTTGGTTGTCTAATCTGGCAAACAGGGGTAATAGTGGGGTGGTTATCTCCCAGCCCTGTGAAGCACAAGTTCATAAGATGAGTTTAAAGTGGAATCCATATGCATCGATCCTGTCCCTCTTTAATGAACTCGGGCTTCTACCCTGCAGTGATATCCGTGCTCAGGAATTCTCCAGTTCTGACTTGCTGTGTGAACTTGGGCAAGCCCCTTTGCCTCTCTGAGGTCTTCTTATGTTCTCTGTAAAAATGAAAAACTTTGGATGAGGTCATGTTACTGACAAAAGACCCCACATCCCCAAAGAAGATTGACCCCTTAGAGAAAGTCTAGTAATCAGAAACATTTGGAGTTGCCAGCCAGAGCTTGTGAAGAAGAGGTTGCCTGCAGCATATTGAAAGCAGTCATAAAATGACAGAGAGAGAGAAAAAAAGTAAAGAATCTTGGCACCTTTAATCAAATTCTTGCTTAGGGATGATTTCTGGCGGGCTTTTTGAGGGAGTCTCTGGGTGGTGTGAATGGCTAACATGCTTACCAGCTAACCAAGAAGTTGGAGGTTCACATTGACCTAGAGGTGCCTTGGAAGAAAAGCCTGATGATCTACTTCTGAAAAATCAGCCATGAAAACCCTGTAGCGCGCAGTTCCACTCTGAGACACACAGAGGGTGGCCACAAGTCAGAGCTGACTTGATGACACCTGGTTTGGCTCGGTTTCTGAAGTACTGATAAAAGCATGTGGACCTTATTGCCACTTTCAAGGGCTTACAGGCCCCAGAAGTACCAGGCTGAATGTGTTCCTGGTTCGTATGACCTTTACCTCACTCGACTCTGAATTCCTGAGGCCGTGAATCCTCTGAGATGAGTCTTTGGAGCCCACCCCTGACCCTCCCCACTGTGTGTGTGTCTGTGTCTGGGCAGGGGGGTGGGCAGGGCAGCAGCCAGGTGGGTTCTCAACAGTGTTGTCATCATTTCCCTTGGCTTCACAGCCCTCATCTCACCTGCTGGTTGTGGAACATCCCCGGGAAGCTTCTATAGAGGTTTTGTGTCATGTCAAGGGTAAAGATCTTTCCAGCCCAGGGTACCTGGGAGGGGCTGAACAGGGCTTTTGGGTGTTTCTGTACATCCTAAGACATGAGTGAGGAAGAAACAGGGGGAAAAAAAAAGACAAACTAGAAAGAGTGAGATGAGATGAGGGGAACCATAGGCAGTGACAGTAAGAGAGAAAGAAAGAAAGGGAGAGAAAGAAAGGTGTGGAAGGAATATTTTATATAGACAATGAGGGAGAGTTGCCAGTAGTTATCCCCCACTAAAACATCACCTACTCATGTCATGTGGCTGAGATGTATTTTATGAACTCCTAGCCAGAGCTAGAAGAGCCCTTAGACACAAACTAGTCCCAGACCCCTCCCCCTGTTTTACAGATGGGGGAACTGAGGTCCAGAGAGGGGCAGTGACTTGTCCAAGTCACAAGGTGAGTCAGTAGTGGAGGTGGGACAAGAACCCAGGTCTCCTGACTCCCACCACAGGGCTCTGTGACAGCAGTAGACATGGGCATCTAGCATAGGAGGGGTAGAGACAATTCTGGTGAGTTGAATGCTCTGTTAAATAAAAGTCTGTGTGTAAAGAGTTCACCCTCAAATGGGTGATACTGAATTTCCAATAATTAAAATTTGATGTAAATCACTTAGCACCACAGTGGATGGGGCTTGATGAATCCTTTCTGTGAGGACTCCAAAGGCCATCAGTAGACCAGTGGTTCTTGATTCTTAGGGAGGATCAGACATGCCCACCACCAACAGGGGTCTAGAGGGGGAAACTGCCTCATAAATCCACAACCACAGTCATTCCTTTCTCATAAATTAAAGTCCTGTGGTGGAGATAGTTTGTCACTTGTTTCTGTGGCCCCACTGCCCAGACCACTACCAGGCATGTGGCAGATTAAAATTCTAGAGAAGACTTGGAGGCAGCAGAGCTGGATACAGTGGCAGAGGGAGGTTGGAGCATCTCAGAGGTGGTTGGCAAGTGGCCCCCATCAGTCGCGGCGGCTATCCCACCATATACAATACCTCTTGCTTTTCTCTTTCTCTCTCTTTCTCTCTCTCCCTCTTCCCTGTCTCTCCTGCCCTCCCATCCCTCTTCCTTCTCTCCTATCTATGTCTTAGGCCTGCCAGTGGTCCCCGCGGGCTTTGTTTCACCCCACTGGTGGCACACAGGGCCGAAGAGGCTGCCGATCCCTGGTATACCACCGTCTGGCTGGGTTGGTTGGGTACACTGCTCCAGGAGGCAGCAGGAATGGACTAGCCTGGCTCCTCAAGGCCCCTTCCAACCCTAAGATTCAGAGACACATGATGTGGAGGCACTGGCGGGAAGGAAAAATCTAGATTAGCAAAGAGAACAACCCTACTGCACTTGCGCCCTTTGCGTTTAAGGCACCCTGTAAGCAGGAGTTAATTGTCTATTAGGCCTCCTGTGTAAGTACCAATATTAACCCCGCTTTCCACTCAGGATTTTGATGGGCTGCACAATACAGCTGAAGCCACCAGGGGGAGCCATCGCTCAGTAATTGTTCCAAAATTCAGAGGGTCAGAAACTCCAGGTGGTGGGGGGAGCTTGTTTTCATCATATCCCATTTCACAGATCCACAGAAGGTTAGAGTTTAAAGGGACTGGTTTGAGAACACATCTGATCTAACTCCCTCATGGTAACAGATTAGAAAACTGAGGCCCGGAGTGGGGACTTTGTTGCCCAAGGTCACACAGCAAGTCAGTGGCAGTGCCTGGCCTTGAACCCCAGCTCTTTGACTAGCAGCCCATTGCTGCACCCATGGGACCACCATTGCCATCCAGGAAAGCAGGGAGTGATCCAGAGTGACATGGAACAGGGTTATCTGATGCCCACACCCTTGACCTAGCAGAGCTGCCAGGAACCTCTCTCCCCAGGGCCTGAGCCTGCCTGGTATCACCAGGTTCATCCACCAGGGACACTGCAGAGCCCTGGGTTGCATCTCCCTCCCAGGCTGATCAGTCTACCTCTTGAAGGTTTTCTCAGTTCAAAATTCATATTTCCAGTCCTAAACTTCCTTAAGACAATGCTTTTTAAGAGCAGGTATTTGCTGAAAAAAGAAAAAATAAATAATAATAATATACCACGAAGCAATCTTCTCCCTGTGACAAAGAGCTGGCCCTGACCTTTTCATCTTACTTTCTTTTCAAGCTGTACATGGTGCGGACCATGCTGGAATCGCTCATCGCAGACAAAAGTGGTTCCAAGAAGACCCTGAGAAGCAGCCTGGATGGACCCATTGTCCTTGCCATTGAGGACTTCCACAAGCAGTCCTTCTTCTTCACACACCTGCTCAACATCAGTGGTGAGCCACAATGTCTGGCCAGGAATGGGGGAGGGGAGAGTGGCGTGCCCCAGACCCCAGAACGCTGAGGCTCTTGGGCCACAAGTTGCAAAAAGACATGTTCATTGACTTAAAAGGGCACAATTTTCCGCCATGGAAAACACACACTTTCCACTGGACTAGAGAGCTAGAGAGAACCCTCCGTGCAGCCTCAGTTTCTCACTGATTTAGCTAAATTTGGCTAGTAAATAATTGTGGCTGATTTGGCTTAAGCCCTTAGTGGAGGTGCATGAAAACCAGGAATATACACACATGCATCTAGGCACTAGGAAATTGGCTTTTTGTTGCTAAGCAGCAGCTAGGAACCAATTAGTACTTGTTGCTCCTAGCAGAGGGAACTTGCAGGCTAGCTGTCTACCTTATGTCCTTCCACTCTTTCTCTTCTCTTAGTAGGATGCATGTCCAGGTTAGACAGAGCAGGATGGAGGAAGAGAATGAGCTTAACAAACAGTCCAAACTTTTTCATTACAGAGTAGCCTAGGAAGGGCCTTAGAGGCCTCTGAATAGTAAGAGTAAGGAATTCTGAATTACCATTATGGAAGCTGTCAAGCAGCTGCCACCAGATGAAAGTAAACACTTGGGGACCTGTTTTGAATGCTGCATACTTTTACACTTAGGTTAAAATTTTAAGGTTGGGGGGTGTTAGAAATTATGGGATTGTTTGCAGCTCTAAAGTCCATACACACACACACACACACACACAGCCACTGTCTTTGAACCTTAATGTGCTGTTTTCTAAATAGACACTTACTTTAAGTCAAGAGGCAGGATCTACTAATCAAGTCATATTTATTAAGTCCTTCTTTGTACCCTGGGAGCTCTGGTAGCATAGTGCCTAAGGCACTTGACTGCTAAGCAGAAGGCTGGTGGTTCAAACCTACTAGCTACTCCTCAGAAGGAAGGTTGGGCAATCTACTTCCATAGTGATACTGCCTCGGCAACCCAAGGAGGGGTCACTGTGAGTTGGGGCTGACTTGATGGCACATAACAACAACAACAACAACCTTGTACCCAGCACAATGATAATAATAACAATAAAAATTGTAAGAACTAATAACTTTTGAGTGCTTCCTATGTGTGACCCAAAGCTTTTTCCTTCATGCTTTCAGAAGCCCTGCAGCAGTGTTGTGACCTCTCCCAGCTCTGGTTCCGAGAATTCTTCCTGGAGTTAACCATGGGCCGGCGAATCCAATTCCCTATTGAGATGTCCATGCCATGGATTCTAACAGACCATATCCTGGAGACCAAAGAACCTTCCATGATGGAGTAAGAAGCAGGACTGGGCCAGCAAGCGGGTTCCCCGGTTGCAGGTGGAGGGCGCTTTACCAGAGCATGCTGTTCTTTCCAAAAGGAAGTGCTGAGTTGATTAGGCAGTGTGGCTCACCAGGGGGAGAACTCAGGCCAAGGATCAAGTCACACACATTTGACTCAACTTTGCAGATAGGTTCAAGGGTTTATCAGCCTACCAGCCTTTCCTGTTGCCAATCTAATAACAGTCATGCTGGGAAAATAATTACCTCTGGAAATGAGGAAGCTTATACCTTTAACTGCCACCTGACTTCTTATTAGCCCCAGACTAATTTCTTTTGCATCAGTGAGTCACTGGTAGAATTCTTGCCTTCTATGCAAGAGACCCAGGTTTGATAAAGGCCAGTGTGTTTTACGTATGGCACCACTCATCGGTCAGTAGAGGCTTGCATGTTGCTATGATGTTGAACCTGTTTCAGGGGAGCTTTCAGAGTAAGGTGGGCTAGGAAGAAAGATCTGGTGATCTACGACTGAAAATCAACTGGTGAAAACCCTATGAATCACAACAGCTCAATCCACAACCATTATGGAGATGGCACATGACCATTCAACATTTTGATCCATTATGCAGGGGATTGCCATGAATCAGGGGCAACTAACAACAATAATTTCTTTAAGGCCTTGTTTTATTAGCATCATGGACTTTTGATTTCTATGGACAGACTATAAAGTTCCTAGATGGAAGCTCTGGAATAATATAATGCTAAAAGTTGTTTTCCTAGCTCCAGAGTTGTGTATCTTTTTGCCCGGTATTTTATATTTCCCAGGCAACTATAAATCTTCTTGTCCACAACAGAGACTGTGAGCTTATAACTGTTATTTTTTCTCCTCAGGTATGTCCTCTACCCTCTGGATCTGTACAACGACAGTGCTTACTATGCTCTGACCAAGTTTAAAAAGCAGTTCCTGTACGATGAGATAGAAGCTGAGGCAAGTGACTCCCTTTGTCCCTACAACCTTGTTAAAAATATTTGAGCTTTTCAAATCTCTAGGTATTAGCTCATAGTGGATGAATTGTTGTGGAGAGTGATCTTTATAAATGTCCATGATTGTCAGAAAGGATCTAGAAAGGGATGATGGTCTGTCTTTTCTAGATTTATTCAGGGATGAAAAATGATAGCAGTACATGTTGTTGTTAGGTGCCGTCCAGTTGCCTCTGACTCATAGTGGCCCTATGTACAATAGAACAAAACACTGACCAGTCCTGCACCATCCTCACAATCCTTGCTGTACTTCAGCTCACTGTGTCAATCCATCTCGTTGAGGGCCTTCCCCTTTATCACTGACCCTGCACTTTACCAAGCATGATATCTTTCTTGAGGAAATGGTCCCTTCTGACAACATAAGCTAAGTAGGTGAGATGAAGTCTGACCATTCTCACTTCCAAGGAATGTTCCAGCTGTACTTCGTGCAGGACAGATTTGTTCTTCTTTCTAGCAGTCTATGGTATTTTCAAAATTCTTCACCAACACCATAATTCAAAGGCATCAGCTCTTTTTTGGTCTTCCTTATTCATTATCCAGTTTTCACATACATATGAGCTGTTTGAAAATACCATGGCAGAGGCGGGGCAAGATGGCGGATTAGGCAGAAGGATTGCACAGACCCTCTTCAACAAAGAAAAGGGAAACCAATTAACACAGACACAGAAGATAATCTTGGACCCCTGAGCCTTGAAGGAAAG